TTTGATTTTATAGGATTTTATTTAATACATCTAATAATCACAGGTTCAAAACATTTTCCTTATTCTGTGCCTGGAAATTGTAGTAAGAGGCTATCCTCTTAAATTAATATATAACTCTTTAATAAGGCATACTAATAAACTAATAAAAAATATTTTACCTTTTTTGTATTTAGAGGACCTTTGTTGTTCATCGATTTCAGGAAACATGCAAACGATTTTGGTGTGAGCTTCCTAAGCACACAAATCTCTAGAAACTTAAAATCGACGCATTTTGGGAAACAATCCTTCACCACAAATCAATTAAATTAGGTAACGAAATCAAAATATTAATAGGGTGATAAATACTCTTTTGAGTATAGAAAATTTAGCAGAGATTGAAGAATAGATATACTCCGACAAAGTTTAGTTTGGGAATGACTCATAAATCGACGATGCGCAGTGGTTTTTGTTTACTAGTGTTACCATGGAAACGGCCAGTTTGCTGTTTGCCAGTGTCGTAGTTGTGATCGCAAAGAGTGTTTGACTTGTTGATTTGATCGTGTTGGATATTTTATTATTTTATTTTATATTAGTGCTTATTATCATGGTGGTCCACCCGCGGACCAACAGGTGGGGTAGATAGGACTCCTAAGCCGTAGAGAAGGCAACTTATCTAAGAGAAGGATACTCTGATTTAAAACCCTGGTCCTCCAAGTTGGGGGTTGAGGCATCGGGCCAACTCCTCGATACTCGAAAAAAATGATCAAAGTTAAAAATTTCAGCAAAAAGCCTTGGAATTCGGACGGATTAAACTATAAACGAAATTCGCAAAGAAAATGGATTATGAATTTGGGTGCTTGGAACATACAAGGAATAAGGACAAAACAGGAGGAGGTCTTCCGTGAACTGTGTAAAATGAAACTAGACATCTGTGTATTAACTGAAGAAAAGAAAAAAGGAAGAGGAAATGAAAAGATAAACGAATACCTGCATTTCTATAGTGGCGTAGAAAAGAGCGAACGAGCCAAAAGAGGAGTGTCTATAGCAATACATCAGAAACTGAAAAAATGTATTAAATCATGGAAAGAAATAGATGAAAGAATTATCCTCATGGAAATTAAGAAAAATGGCCACGAAATAGTGGTAATTGGAACATATGCACCGACGGATGACCCAAGGGTTGACAGCAAGGAAGAGTACTTTAACAAGTTAACAACTGTTCTAGCCACAATTAATAAGAAGAAAGAAATTTGGACCTTAGGTGATCTTAATGCAAGAACCGGAAAGAGCTCCAACAGTGAAATAATAGAGAGATATGGAGAAGACATTCTGAACGACAATGGTCAAAGATTAATAGATTTTTGCGAGGCACATTCTTTGAAAATATTAAATGGTTTCTTCCCCCATAAGAATATACATAAATTTACATGGACGCAGCCTACCAGGAATTTAAAATCAATAATTGACTATTTTATTAATCGTAAAGATTCTAAACTAAAAACAAAGGACGTGAAGGTGTTTAGAGGGCCAGAATGTGGAAGTGACCACCATATGATTATTGCAAAAGTAATGGTGACATTTAAGAGAGAACAATCAAGTCACAAAAATGATGAAGTAACAGACATAGGAACAACCATAGAAAACATAAAATATAACCTGGAAAGCTTTAAATAAGATTCGACAAAGTTCTTATATAAAATTAGAATAGCTCAGAAAATAAAAAATATAGAAACAGAGGACTTAGACCCCGAAAGTCTGTATGAGGTAATTAAAAAATATATTCATGAAGCGGCAAATGAAGCACTGGGAAAAGTTGGAAATCGGAAAAAAGGAAAACCTGAATGGTTGTCAACGGAACTAGAAGAGAAAGTTCTCAAGAAAAAACAAGCATATCACATATGGCTTCAAACCAAAGATCCTCAAGACAATGAAATATACGCTAAATGGAATAGAGAAGTTAAAAAAGACGTGGATAAGGCGAAAAATATAAACTGGGAGGCTAAGTGTGATGAACTGGACAGATTTATGGGTGGAACAAAAGTGGCGCAAGCTTGGAAAACATTAAAACAGTTTAGGAAAAATGAGAAAAATGAAGACAACATTTCTCTCATAAAGTTAAATGAATGGGAAGAATATTATACGAAACTGCTGAAAGAGGATAGAGTAGAGTACAGATGGGAAAAGATAAGGGAATTAATAGACAACAGAGAAAAAGAGGAAGACAGGAAATCCCTATAATAACATTATCTGAATTGACGGAAACCTTAAAAGAGGTTAAAAACGGAAAAGCCGCAGGGCCTGGAGACATTCCCATAGAGCTGGTTAAATATGGGCCGACTGCACTTTTAGAATTAATAGTAGACCTTTTCAATAAATGTATGTGTGGAGACCAGGAAATTCCTAAAGATTGGAATAAATCTTATATAAGCTCCATATATAAGAGAGGGAATAAAAGAGACTGTTCTAATTATAGAGGTATTAGTGTGACGAGCTCTGTGGGCCGGTTGTACGGCAGAATATTAAATAAGAGGGTTGAAAGACAGATACAAGATATTGAAGAACAAAGCGGCTTTCGTACCGGGAGATCCTGCCTTGATAATATATTTATCCTACGACAAATAATTCAAAAGCGTGTCGAAAGAAGTAGAGAGACCCATTTGGTATTTATAGACCTTGAGAAAGCATATGATAGTGTCCCGTTAAAGAAAATGTTTGAGGTCCTCAAAAGGTCCGGATTGGATTCGACGTATATCCGAGCGATATATAAATTGTACGAAAATGCAGTTAGTTGTGTAAAAATTGGAACCAGAACCTCAAATGAATTTAAAGTCACTAAAGGCCTAAAGCAGGGATGCTGTTTGTCACCGACACTCTTTAAAATATACGTCCAAGAAGCATTGAGGAATTGGAGAAATAAATGTAGATTTATGGGCATCGAAGTGGGACAAGAAACTCTGTATACATTGTTGTTTGCAGATGATCAGGTGGTGGTTGCAACCGATGAGGAAGATATAAATTATATGAATCGAAAATTATTTGAGGAATATGCCAAATGGGGGCTTGCTGTAAACATAAGCAAAACGGAATACTGAATTCATTACTGTGGTCTAATAAAATAAAGATGCATACCAAACTTCGCGTATACAGAGCAATTGTAGAACCAATTACCACATATGGTGCCGAATGTTGGACGATGACAAAGAATGAACGAGATAAAGTAGACGTTGTGGAAATGGATTATCTTAGAAGGTCATGTCGAGTATCGAGAATGGAAAGAATCAAGAATGAGGAAATACGAAACCGTACAGGAATTAGAGATACTCTTTCAGATAGAATACAAGGAAGGCAATTACAATGGTATGGTCACGTGATGAGAATGGAGGAGGAGCGGTGGCCAAAGAAAGCCTTAATATATGTTCCGCCAGGAAGAAGGAAAAGGATAAGACCCCAAATTCCTGGAGAAGAGAACTTACAAAAACAATGCAATCTAGAGGCTTAGAAGAGGGAGATTGGAGAGATAGGAAAGATGGAGGCTGAAATGCGGGAAGCGGCAATCGCCGTAGGACCCCCGTTATATGATGATGATGCTTAGTATCATATTGGTAGTAGTAATTAGTGAATTATTAAGTCATTTAGTGTATTTATAGTGTGTTAGGTTTAGTTATTAATAATAGTTATTTAACAATATGGCTTCTAAAAAGATATGAACAAAAGGGCTGAGATTAAATACCCCAGCAAAGGCAATAATTTATAATTTTACTACATTTATGGAACAAGAGGCGGCATATTTCGAAGCAACTGAAAACCTGTTGATACCTTTAAGGAAATTGACGTAAGTATTGTCAATAATATTTTATTTTCTTATGTGTGTATGTGTGTGAAAAATATGACATGCAAACAAGTCCATCGGCCACAGAATGTTTTATTTATGTTTAAAGATATTTTTTGTTGTTCTTGTTTTCAGAAGTGTTAATAGAAGAGTGGTCTAACATATGAAAACACTCAAATCGCAAAAGAACATTTATTAGACTGTACGCTGGACCACTTGCAATGTTTATTAATACTGGTTCATCCGAAGAAAGCCTTTCTGATAATGAAGATAGTGATTCAAATTCCGGAATAGACGTGTTTTTGTGTGATATTCTTTTGTCATATAACAAAACATAGAAGCCTTTACAATCATTACTGTTTAAAAAATAAATACATTATTTAATTAGTTAAAATACATTACTTATTTTTTTTGTGTTGTTGAAACCCTTTCTTTCTTTCTGGCAATGTTAATAAATTATATGTAAGTATTGAAGAATTTGTTATTTATTAAAGTACTCCTAATAGTTTACTCATTATTTTATCGAATGCCTGACTATAAACTTCATAAATATTAAAAACTATAAAAATAAAAATTGACAAATTCATTCTCACTTTAATTGAATATACTTATAAAAATTTATTTTAAGGTACAGGTTTCCATCCGCCACTGATAGAAACGGTCCGCCCATCTGCGCGAAACACTAAGTCACATTCCCAAACTAAAGTTTGTCGGACTCTGTAAACAAATGATACTCTTCTAAGATATAAAACAATATATTATTTATATTTTCCTTCAAGCATTAATTGAATTTGATCTAAAGTTTTTCCCTTCGTCTCTGGGATAAAGAATATAATGAAGAATGACGCTAGGAATGAACAAGCAGAAAACAAATAGAAAGGTATATGTATACCGTAGCTATCCTTCAAGCGGTAGTACAACATAATAGCCATTATAGCAGAAAAATCATAAACACCATCGACCAAAGCCATCCCTAATGTTTTTATGTTCGTGGCGAATATTTCTGCAGTAATCACTATCGGAACCATCCCCAAACCGTACTTAAATACCAGAGCATAGACCATAACAGCTACTAAGGGCAGCCAACTAACATTTTTGTACTCATACCCAGCGTTTTTTATGTGGAAATATATAGCCAATGTAAGAAGACACATTCCTGTTAAAATACTTGAAAGGTAAAGTAGCTTCTTACGTCCAAACTTATCTACTGTTCCAGAAGCTAAACTGGCAGCCAAAAACATAATGGCGGCAAAAATAATGGCTGTTAATGATGGTTCTAAATAAATTGAACCTGCTGATTCTAAAATTGGATGCAGGTTCATTAATAAAATATTTATGCCGCTAAATTGCTGGGCTGCATTCAAAACTGTCATAATTAACAACGATTTTCGGTAGCTTTTCACTGTAAATATATCCTTAACTCCACCCTTTTCAGTTTTTTGTCTTTCAATAGCTGTTCTCATATCAACCAATTCCTTTTCTACTGAATCACTTGATCTATAAAACTTTATTGACTTTATTGCTGCCTCTTCTTGGCCACTAAACAATAAATAGTACGGTGTTTCTGGAAGCATGGAAAACACAACCAATTCTACTAATAATAGACAAATAGCAATAATTGGAGGAACGTAGTACGGTAAGAAAGGTCCAGTAATATAAATAGTCAATACACCAATTAACATCATCAAATATATAATACTTGATAAAAATCCTCGAATTTTCTGGTCAGCAATTTCAGCTATATAACAAGGTCCTGCTACATAGGCCATGTCTCCTCCTATTCCTGCTATAACTCTCGCTACGTAAATAACGGTGACAACTTTGGCAAAAATCACCATCACCCAAGATATAACAAATACAGCCGAGGCTAGCAATAAAGACCTTTTTCTCCCAATCTTGTTAACCAAATAAGCTGTTATAGGTAAACCCATTACAGCACCCATTGACAACAATGTTTCTAGCGACTCAGCTTCGTGTATTGTCATCCTAATGTGGCTTTCCTCACTGAGAAAATAAGGTATCATTGGGGACGTCCACCCTGTTATCATTCCATAGGATACTGCCATTAAGTTTGCTAAAATATAAAGATCTAATTCAACAAAAATGTTAAGCTTGTAATATTATTTAACAAAATAATAATCTCACAATTATTTAACACAAAATATTAAAGAAGAAATGTATGGAAGAAAACTAATAATTTAATATCCCGTAAAAAGAAGAAGTGTTTATGTTATATTAGATATTGTATTTGATGTAGGCAGAGAATGTAAGAAATAAGACAGGGGTGATAAATGGAATGTTGACAAAGTCAAGGGAATTCCAAGTGTTGTAGTTTTGCATAACTGTAGCATTACAGATAAAGTACCATAACACTTGGAGAAAAGACATTTAATAATTAACGAAAGACGATAGGAATTTTCAACAAGAATACTTCTTACTTCAAGAAAAGATTTCCTTCGATGAAACGCATGTTAACCTGTGTAATCTAAAACTAAGGACAAGATCTAAATGATATCAGTAGACTCGTTAAAACAATAAACAAAAATGTTATAAGATAATTTGATCACTAGAAGAAAAGAGAGCATGGAAAGACTGATCGTTGAAGGCGAGGCGGAAGATCAAGATGCAGATCATTATGTATTTGTTCAGATTTTTGAACCCGAACTGGTTTGTTTGACTTTCACAGAGCTTGTAAATCCTCTTATGAATTATCTTTAGAAATAATTTTAGGAGATGACTCATAAGGCTTATTGTACGGTAATCTTCGCATTTTTTGGCTCCTGGTTTTTTTTTTTGGAAATGCAATAAACTCAGATTTCAGTCATTGTGTTGGTATTTCTCCAGAGTTGTATATGTTGTTGAATATCTTTGCGATTATTGCTATTGATTCGTTTTCCATTAGTTTGGGTAGTTCTGCTTGTATATTATCAGGGCCTACCGCTTTGCCATCCTTTAACTGTCTTATTGCGGAATAAATTTCCTGCTGTAATATTCTTGGTCGAACATTTACCTCTTCTTCTAGCTCAAAGGTGTTATCTCTTTGTTATTCAAATAGTTTTCCTAGATATTCTTTCCACGTTCTTATTTTACTCTGTCAAAGATGATGTTTCCGTCAAAACGAGTCACATTTCCTTTTTGCTTTCGGCTTTTGAAAAATCCGACATAACAAAATGCTAGAAATATTGGAAACAGCTGGATTGGACGATGAAGATCTACGAATAATTACAAATCTATACTGGTATGAAGTGGCAAGAATAAAGGTTAAAAAAGAACTGTCGGATGAAATAAATATAAAAAGAGGAGTGAGACAAGGCTGTATATTGTCGCCTTTACTTTTTAACTTATATTCGGAGGAAATATTTAACGAAGCCTTAATGGAGACAACCGAAAGTATTATTGTGAATGGAGAAACCGTCATCAATATTAGATATGCCGACGATACCTTAGTGCTTGCTAATTGCGGAGAAGACCTTCAAAATCTAATGAACAAAATAAAACAGACTTGTGATCAGTATGGATTAAAACTCAACGTTAAGAAAACTAAATATACGATAGTTAGCAAACAAAATTACATACAGGATGACGGTATAAACACGTATGACGGATGATGACGGTATAACAGAGTAGAGAAACTCGTGTATCTCGGCAGTAATATCAATGAAAGCTGGAATCCAACCGCATAAATAAAAAATCGAATAGAACAAGTCCGAGCTGCCTTTGTAAAAATGAGAAACGTACTTTGCATTCACGATCTTAGCATTGACCTTAGAGTTCGAATGACATCTTGCTATATCTTTCCTGTCTGCTGTATGGAGTGGAAGCTTGTACTCTAACTGAGGCTATCCTTAAACGCTTGACAGCCTTTGAAACTTGGGTATGCAGACGACTACTGAAAATGAGCTGGGTCGACAGAGTAAGAAATGAGGAGGTCCTTAGACGGCTGAACCAAACAACACAACTGGTCAATATAATAAAGAAACGCAAGCTGGAATACTTCGGTCACGTTATGAGATACCCAGAAAAATATGATCTTTTACATCTGATCATTCAGGGAAAGATCCAAGGTAATCGTGGTCCTGGTAGAAGAAGAACATCATGGCTGAAAAATCTAAGGCAAAGGTATGGAAAATCAACTACATCATTATTTAGAGCTGCTGCCAATAAAGTGACTATAGCGAATATGGTAGCCAACATAATATCCAACGATCGATAACGGTCATGGAACTAGAAGACGAAGAAAACTACATTTTAACAAGACAGTGATTATTTTGAGTGATTTCAGTTTCACCACTTTACCTGCTTTTTAAAGACTAGTGAAGATTTGTATTAAAGAGGTGCCGGTTGCAAAAAAATAAAGTATACCAAACTTACCCACAACAGCAGCAAACAATTGCGCAACAGTTCCCTTATCCATGTTCAACATTTTTCTTCAGTAGTACAATAAAATATTGATTCTTTTAAGACTTTATTAATTTTACTGAATGGTTTCAACAACTCCTTGATATTGTGTTCTTTTTGTTTTACACCATTATTATATAGGTACAATTAGACAAATATGATCAAATATTTTTTTTTAAATGAAATTTGAATGTTAATGACGTAGTTTTATAACAATCTTATGTTAACAAAGATTAAAATATTGCAATTAAGTAAACTTTATTTAGAACGTCAATGTTATTTTAATTTTATTGTAAATGGAAATTAACTATCTATAAATGAAAATATTAGTATATGATGCAGGTTGCAAGGAACGGAGGGGGGAGTAGTACACAATGAGACATGGTACTGTCGTCCCTGAAATTAATAAGCCATGGAAAAACGTAAAAGCAACTACAGTCCTCTCTCTCTATAACGATATGCAAGGGACCGGGAATTTTCATCGTTATAAGGAGAGATCGTTATACAGAGAGAGACAAAATTCGGTACTGTAATATTAATAATACTGTACTAAATAACCTATTTTAATTTAAAAAATTATTAAAACGAATCAAAATGAATTAGCATTGTATTCCACATAGATTTATTAACGAAAAATATAAGCAATACAGTATAAAAAATGACTGTACAATTAAAACCTGTGTACTGTACAATAAAAAAAAATAGAATGCTACTGTAAAATATATTTAGACTACATTATCAAAAAAATCTGTCACCTTGATCTGTCTTCTTTTCCCTTTCCACAGAACTGACCTGACCTTGTCCTGAAGACGCATCGAATCTTCCACAGCACTCATATCGTCTTCCTGGTGGATGAAAAATCGATGCAGTACTTTTGCCGCATCCAATGCCTGCTGAGGGGTCGGAGCTGGTTCTGGCTCTGCTTCCAATTTAGAGTCACTGTTTTGTTCTTCTTCTTCTACACGAACTGCTTGCAGGATGTCCTCGTCAGAAAGTCCAGATGTTGTCGCTACATTTTTATCAACTTTTTCAAAATCTGTTAGCTCTTCCGGTCCGTAGGTGATAGTAAGTTCAAACTGTCTGGCCCAAACATCTAACGGCAGGTCATCTTCATCATAAGTCAATCCTTGATCTTCCAGCCATCCTGCGTGTTTAAAGGAATGTTGTATTGTATTGCTCGTCACCTCGTCCCAGGATTTACTAATCATTAGGATGGCGTCAAGAATGTTTAGTTTAAAATCGCCATTATTCTCAACCAATTCTATCAAAAGTCTTCTCCTGTAATGGTTTTTCAAACTCTTGATGACACTTTGGTCCATGGGCTGAAGGATACTCGTTGTGTTTGCTGGCATAAAACAGAGTTCGATGTTTTGAAGGTCGCGCAATACAGGATGAGCAGGAAAATTGTCTACAAGCAAAAGAATTTTTTTTCCTTTAAGCTCGATATCCCACTTTATTATCGCTTCTTCAAAAATTTTCGAGGTCATCCACGCACTCTTGTTTGCTTTATATGTCACCGGTAGATTTTTTTATGTTTTTAAAGCAACGCGGGATTTTCGACTTCCCTATCACTAACAATTTTCGCTTCACCGAACCTATCATGTTAGCGGCTACTAAAACTGTAATGCGTTCCTTAGAGAGCATTCCAGCAACGCACTTTTCCAATTTAAATTTTAGAGTTCTGTTGGGTGTCATTTTTAAAAACAATCCGGTCTCATCCGCATTGAAAATGTCGTCTGACGCATATCGTGCCTTCAGTCCAGGCCACACGTTTTCTAGCCAATGATCCGTTACGTTTTTGTTAACATCGCGAGCCACTCCGCTGATTTGCCCGTAGTTGATCTTGTGCCGCATCTTCCACTTACTCAGCCAACCCTCAGATGCCTTAAAATTCTCAATTCCAAGTTCAGTTGCAAAAAATTCAGCTTTTGTCCTGACCACAGGCCCAGAAAGTGGAATATGGTTCATACGCTGCTGCTGGAACCACTGAAGCATAGCGCGATCTAAATCTTCGTGCTGAGGTTTCCGCAACTTCTTCCTGCTACCGCCCTCTGTCACCGCTTTAAGCCACTTTTTTCTGTCTCTAAGACACAACTCAAACTGGAAATGAAAAGTCGTCAATAGATGACATCTGTGTGATAACAGTTAGTTACGCCGCCCGAACAATAAACGTGAGTCACTTAATCCTCTGATAAGAAAGAGTATAGGCCGCATCCCTTAAGCGCAAAACAAAACAACCGCTTGACAATGACCTTGCCACTAGTGACTCAGATAGTCTGAACTTTAAACACCATAACACATTTGATTTGTCATCAACTATTGAACGCTATAAAGTTATCGCTATAAAGAGAGAACGATATCGGTATAGAGAAAGAATTAATACATTGTTCTTATGACGAACCAACCAACGTTTACTATTTTCATCGTTATAGAGGAATTATCGTTATATAGGGAATCGTTATAGAGAGAGACTACTGTATGTGCATTTCCTATGGTTATTAATATCGCCATGATCTAACATTGCGCAATATTGCACAATAATGCGATGTTAGTCCAGGACGCTCTTTTGGGGCATTGTCTTAAAAGACAATGCCTGTATGTTTATTTAGGGTTGTATAAATAAAACACACTATTCTGAAGCGAAAAAAAGGTCAACGTCAGAGTCTTAAGGTGTTCGCGGAAAATTGCCGAGTCCTTCAAGTGAGGAGCTCGACGGCTACCCGCTGAGGGTAAAACCAGTACTGAATTGAGATCCGAAAATGTCCCATATTTAAAGTTAAATTTATATGAAACCTTTTCATTTCTCAACCAATTAAAATAATTAAAAGTTTCAAAAGGGAAGGACTAGGCAAAGTCGAGGCGCGTGATTGGTGTGCCTGGACGTCACCCCCCCTGCTTTAGTGGCTCTGAGGTTGATAAAAAAAACTTTTTGATTTTATTAACAACTAAGAACAATAAAAAATTTTTTATAAGTTGAAGAATAGGTAAATAAATGCATAAAAATGAATAAACTTAATGTCTTTTTAAGAGTTTTACTTACAGTTCTTTGTTCTTAATAAAAACTCGCTACACTTCGCGTCGCGTAACACTACACTTGCACAAACACTGGCGGTGATCGGTCTCGTGGACAGCATCTTCTGCAGGTTCCTCCTCGGCGATGTGGTCGGTCGTCGGCCGCTACTTCCCATTCTAGCTCTTTCGGTACCTTCTGCATTTCGCCGGTGTGTCGTAGGCGAGTTTACCTGAGCCTCCGTGGTGCTCTGGACCACATACTCGTAGGGCAGGCAGGGACTGAGGACTGGCTAGTCCGGGGACATCCATCGCATCAGGTACAGCATCGAAGTCGGGTGGCTCGAAGATATCTCACACATCGACGGTTTCAGAGCTGCAGCTAGCTGGATATCAGCATATTAGCGTTTACGTACTAATATCCGATGTTTGTGCCGGCATCGTGTCGGAATTTGCGAGTTTGTTCGCTTGGAGTGGAGCATGAGGACTCTGAACTCTCAGAGTCGTAGTGCGTAGTGCCAAGCTCCATATCTTTGTATTTTTAAGAATTGACTAATTCGTATTTAAAATGAAACATTTTTGTACATTAAATGTTTTATTTAATTTATTTATTTTATACAAATATTTTGGTATCAAAATTAACGGATGGAATTTTATGGAATATTTTATGGGATTTTAACCCTCAACGCACACCGTCACTGGCAAATCTTCATGGTGTGAGTGAAATTAATAATTATAATACAATTTACTTAAATAACTATAATATTTAGCATTCTTATTTACTTATTTAGATCTCACCTTTCCATTGGTTTTGAGGTTTAAAATTGAAATAAAAAGTAAATCAATTAATACCTAATTGCACTATTATAAATATTTACCTATGAAACGATATTCCTGGTGTTTTCTGCTCGCTGCGATTTTTTCAAAGAATATATGCACAATTTACCATTTTGTTAGGTAAAAAAAATAGGTGTTTAATTCACTTTTTTTTTAAACCACAAAAAACTGGTGTCAGATCTATTTTTGCCACCAAAAAATGGTGAAAACATCGAAAAGTGGCTTCACTTTTTAAAGGTTGGTTAAACGCAACCGAGATAAAATGAAATCCAGGTTGCCAGGTCTAGGTATTTATCCCGAATCTAGGGATATTTCAGTATAAAAGGGACAAAGTAATTTTTTTTTATATTCCGTGTAAAATCTAGGGATTTTTGACAGGCTCCAATATTTACCTACATAGGTCTATTATAATAACATTTTCTTTAATTGAGGTATAAAACCATTTCGTATTAACAGCATTAAATAAGCGATCTTTTATTACAAATAATTAAACTACTAGTAAACTACTTAAGGATTCTATTATCAGATGTCGCTAATTGTCCACGTTTTGGAATCTTTATTTTATGCTACCAAATATAGATTTTTGCCAAAAATAGATTTCTTTATATTTTCAGAAAGGAGAAGCAAATTCTGGAGCAGGTATTAGGGGATATATTGATATATTAGGTGTTTGTTTGTATAATAATACTCCATAAATTATTGCTTTTAGTTATATGTTCTTATTGTATGCCATAAGCTAAATAAATATTTTCTTATTTGTATAACGTATATTTGCTTTGTTCTTTTGATTATATAATTATTAGAATGGATAATTATTATAAGAAAATTATAAGAAATGATAAGAAAATTATAAGAAAAACTAGGTATTATCAGTGCAATCATTACAATCAATAAAATCATCTTGATAGTTTCTTAACATTTCGAATATTACTAAACTCTACAACAGACTTTTTATTATCTTCTATTTTGATACATTAATATAACCCCCTCTGTTGCTTAGTGGTAAGAGCGCCTACCTTTAAACCTAAAGGTCGTGAGTTCGAATCTCATCTGGTTGGAGAAATTTTCGTTTATTAAAAATTAATGAATGAAAATAATTTCTATCCTGGTGCGATCGGTACTCACCGGAGGGACCGCAGACGTTCGGATACAATTAGCGTCTCTTAGCAAAGACAATGACGTCGACTTTGCTAAGTATCAAGACAATTACTCTACACACACACACACACTACACTAGGCACCTGACTGTACCATGCCAATGATCTTAGTTGTCGAGGCATTAACTCAATAATAAAAAATAATATAATAATACCATGACATGACGGTTATAATAATCATTTCTACACCTTAGGCAACCAACGATGCCCATATTCGTAGTCCAGATCATAACAATATAATATAAAACATTCCAAAATATTTACTTCGATTTATTTGATAATTAAAGCTTGTCGCTCACTTATGCACTGCAACGCAAAGCGCGCCGAACAGAATTTCTTCGCCTAGGATTTTACGGTTGCGATCCGTGTCGCTTCTGTTCTCTGTGCAGCGCGTTGCTTCGCACAGATACGCGTGAGTATATTTTTTAACTTACATGAAGAAAATTCATAACAACCTTTTTCTCCGCGCTTCGTTTCGCGGTGGAGTGCATAAGTGAGCGACAAGCTTAAGAGAAGAGGCATACAAAAAAACCTAGGGAAGAGGCATACAAAAAAGTATTGACCTTTATTAACTGTTTAAACTTCAAAAATATGAATTTGCAATATTTTTGAGTTTGCGGCAATTAATAATACTGTCTTTAAATTTTATAAATTCGGTGCCATCTAGTTCCCACTCTAAAAGTCTTTTTTGTTACTTACGAAAAAAATTGCTTAGATAGTTTTATGACTTAGTTTCGAACTGATAACAACTATAATTTGTATGTAAAAGAGACAAAAGAAATTAGATATTAATCAACATAGATTAAGTATAAATGTAGGTACATATTTAATTTGTAAATATTTGGCAAATAGTTCGCATATTTGTGCTTAGCATAACAATTTCTTTCTTTCTAGTTTCTTTATTCATTTTAAAACTTACAAAGACGAAAAATGTAGAAGATAACATGTAGAAGAAAAAAACATTATAACGAAAATACCTACGTTAATAGATTTTTTTTTATTATTATAACAATAAATTAGCAATCAGAATAAAAATGTGTTGTATAAGTTAATGTGATGAGTTTAATGAAATTAAATATTAATCAACATAGATTAAGTGTAAATGTAGGTACATATTTAATTTGTAAATATTTGGCAAATAGTTCGCATATCAGTGCTTAGCATAACAACAGGTTGATATACATCATCGAAAGTGTTTCTTTATTAATTTTAAAACTTGAAAAGACGAAAAATGTAGCAGATAATGTGTAGACGAAAAAAGAGATTATAACGAAAATACCTACATTAATAGAATTTTTTTATTATTATAACAATAAATTAACAATCAGAATAAAAATGTGTTGTATAAGTTAATGTGATGAGTTTAGGTTCTATGGAAGAATCACGTGTCCATGATACTGGTCTGTTGCCGTTGCTGTCTATATGAAGTGGTGGTAGATTCCAACGATGCAGAAGCAGGACTTCAACCATTTTTATGGCCCCCGCAATACAGAGACGTGCTAGCCTTTGTGTATTACGTAGCAGCCTTATTGCTTCCACTTGCTGCGTCGTTGTCCACCACGTCACTGGGCCATGGGTTAATTGGTCTATGAACCCTTGTATATAACCATAGAGTCATTTTGGGGTTTAGTCCCCAATTCTTACCGCACATTCTTCTACATCTGCCCAGGGACATAGTAACTTTCTGTGTGGTTTTCAGAATGTGAGTATTCCATGTAAGCCTATGATCAAAATACAACCCAAGTTATTTCGTCTCTTTGACAAATGAAATTTTTGTTCCTCCCAGCACCAGTGATTTTGTAACGTCTTAATCTTATTAAGACCAGGGTGTTAAGCAACACCACACTGCTGGAAGAAACGAGGAGAGTTTCTTCGACTATCCCTAAGGATATTCAAGAGAAAAATGCCCACCGCTCCATTCATCAGATTGCTGCTCTACCCGACTGCTCAGCCCTGGGTTCGTTCCCTGTTCATTCTCTCCCCACACCAATCCGAGAAGGTATAGGAAATAAAAAAAACTTACGAAGTCATAGTAAAGGTATAAATATATTAAATAATAATAAACAGAATTCATATTTGTTTTAGTCTTTCGTAGTTAGCTCCGCTGAAATTCGCGATTTCTTGCCAGTTCTTCAGGAAAATGAATGTGGGCATAGACTTGATGTTGTATTCCATAGCGAGATCTTCGCATTCATCAACGTCGATTTTAACAATAATGACGTTGGGGTATTCGGCAGAATTTATATTATTATGAATGTGAAACAAAAATAAATTTTTAATTGAAACTCAGAATTCTGCCGGCTGCCGGTATAAAATAATTAAAGTATAAAAAGTACTCAGCTTTAGTTCGTTCCAAAGGAGTCGTTCAGTTCTTCAGGAAGGGTTCCGATCTTTGTGAAAGTTAGCCGCTGTCGGTGGTTGTTGGTTGTGTTAAGGGAGTTGTTGGTCTAGATTGTAGCATTCATTTTTGTCCCCAAGTTGATAAATGGGTTTCAAATTATATTCTGATGCATCAGTGGATTTAAGGTAGTATGGGTGGTTGCTAATTGTTTCCCCAAGGTAGTGTGATTGGCTGTTGTTTGCTTCCCAAGGTAGTGGCCGTGTATATGGCTAAGACACTAATCAATTTGTGTGACTAAAGTTTCATTGTAGAATGATTGTAGTGATATGATAGAAAAGAGAGCGAATAAAAATTTGTATCGGCTTATATAGGATGGAACGGCTACTAAAAATATTTTAATTTAGTAAGGTCGCTTTGGAATAATACAGTACGGGGGACAAGTACCAAGCGGAGCTTTATGTCACGTTGTATTTATGGTACAATAAATATAAGGTATGATATTGCGAATCACATTTGACAGCTGACCCAGGAGTGTGACGTAATCAAGACGGCTCGAAATTGCTCGAACCCATTATTACAGCTTAACGTACACATGAATTTTGAAAGTATGTTTAAAAAATGATCCAATTTTTGTTTGTTTTGTTTCCGTTATAATTGAATAAAAAATCAATTTTCAGTAGCGTAAATCCTTTACTTTTCCTGGAGATTCAGGCGAAATATTTATTTTTGTTTTCATATATTGGCGACGTGCAAGTACTTGGATGTGATACGAGAAACGATCGTGCGCGAGTAGCGGAGAAATCTTGCATTTTTTACTGCACATTTCATAGATTTCATAAATTCA